AGGTAGAAAATTACCACACGTAATAATTTGTGTATTATACAAAACAGAAATAAAGTACAAAGACAAAGAAGTTTACCTTAATTTTATAAACCGCTATAAGCAGGTATTCTTATTTATTAAATGTTTTCTTTATTCAACATCAAAGCAAATACAAGATCTAAAGGAACAATAACGGCAAGGTACCGAATCTAATGTTCGAGTATGAACAAAGTCCATGTTTACCGCCAGCTTTACAAGTTGTAAACATAGAATTTGATTCTGGAAACATCGTTAACTTGGCCCTTAAACAGATTATATGAATTTAAAATGACTTAACTCTCCAAATTATCACTCAAGCATCGAATCGTTTTGCTAGCCACAATTTTGGTACAATTACAGATATTACAGTATATGATCTGCACAAACTTGAAATTACTTAACTAACCGAAATTTGCATTACTTGTTTGTTCGTTCAGTTAACACAATAGAGCTGGCGAAACTAAAATTAGGCGCAACTGATAATAAACAGGCGGAGGAATCGGATCCCAGCTAAATTGGCTTTATCAACATCTTATTATAGAGGGCCCGTCCCTCCACAGCGAGGCCGGCGCGCTTACACCATCCAAGCGCGCAAACCGCTAATTGTGTTCCATGTTTATACACGACTTCAATTCTCCCATTTCGCAGGATGAGGCCCTCGCATTTCAACACACCCGACGCTATTCGCAACCATTTACAAGCTTCAATAGCGATACTGATGTAATTGCTGGATAGATAGGTTTCCCGCACAATACGTACAGTCGACATGTTCAAGTGAATCTTGTTGCATTTTGCATAAAATCGATACTCATGAATGGCTAGCACGATACGGAGCTGACGGGAATCAGCAGGAGATTCGATAACTATATTTCTCTACAATACATAGTATATATTATTTAGAATGGATACAAAGACTTTGTTAGTATTGAGAGTTAGCGAACTATGCCCAAAATTACTAGCATATTCTCTACTCTTTCGTCCTTTGATTAAAAAACAATTTCATTCCATTGCAGATATATGTATATTCCGTATTTATTATTTTAAAATAGACTGGTCACTGAATCAATTCCAATTAATAAAACATACTAATCAAAGATTGACAATTTACTGACTACAATTATTTTTATTTAATGGCCAGACCTTTCCAGCGTTCACATATTTGACATCAATTTATACAAATAAATAGGAAATATAGACTAGAAATAATATAATTTCTACCTTCGTATTATACAAAAGCAGAAAAAAATTGCGTTATTATAAAATATTGATTTTGCTATGGTTTACAAATCTAATCGAAATTAACCTACAAATATAATTGTTTTATGCGCTTATTAATAATAATTACACAAATAACGTGACAATGTAAAGCAAATGAGACAGAAAAAAAACAGAATCATATCCTTAGAAGAATATGTGTACCGGAAGAACTTTTGAGATGGATTTATTACGATAAGAAAGATCACACTTTCTGAGATAAAAGAAGTCGAACATATCATAAGCATAATTATGAAAAAGAACATATAAGGAGGATATAATATAATAAATAAAGGTAATTACAAATAAATTATCTCTGTTCACTAGAGTTCTAGATTAAAGTTAAAGTTTAAATAGTTTAAGAGATAGTTAATAAATAACAGAATTACAAGAGCATCATTGCCAACCTACTCGATAAATTAATGTCACATCAACATGTTATTAGAAACGCTTAACGAAAACCGTTTATAATACTTGCGTATTATTACTGGATTAGGTTCATTACTTAATATACTAACGCGCTAATAATGTGCCAAGTTGGTGTTGATGAAGCAATGAGATTACAGGGGCACTTGAAATATGATTACGAGCGGGTCGGCTCATCAGGCCGTAAGTGTTTACGGATGCACGTGACAGGCTGGCTGTCCACTGGCCGCGTATTTACCTAATTGGTACAGTACGTTGTGACAAAAGTCCGCACTGAGCGTGGAGCAAATTAGATTTGCGTTCGCCCTCGCACGAGTGGGCGAGGCTCGGGACGCTCGCCTCTGGTTGTACTCGCTTTACTTACCTCTTTCACCCTAAATTGACTTTTCTCTAATTGAAAACGTGTCAAAGGCCCGCCGCGATTAGTCTTTGTGTTTATATCGATGCAATCAAATGGTAAATTAAATAAATACTTGCAGTCGAGAAATTTGTTCAATTAATTCATTTTATTGTATTGAACTAGTATTGTTAAAAATTTAATAATAATTATATACATATATATATTATTATATAATTTCCTAAATAAAAGTTTGTGTTCCATTTACTACCTAAATTGTATTCATAGGCGGCAGTAGTTGCCACGCTTGGAAGGCGAGTTGGCATTTGCAGTTAGGCTTTAGTAATGTTTAAAAAGCGACGCTGCTGCCCAGACCTCGACCATTAAGTTCCCTTAGCCGCCTCTTATAACACTCATGGGAAAGAAAGGGGTGACCCATTCTATGCCGAGACTTATAATATTATTTTATTATTTCCTTTAACTGTACGAAATGCAGCACGTGTTTACATGCACTAGTATATATGTTCAATTGTTATTAAAGTCAATGACAACAAAAAGCACATAGAGACAAGGAATATATCCAATTACCACTAAAAGCAATATCAACAAAGTATTTTTCTAAATTAGTTACGTTCGTAATCTTTCTGAACTGTTTGTAAGAACGTACAAACGTTCGTACACAAACAACGAAATAGTTCGATATTGTCCTTAGCTATATACAATGTCATTATACTCAAGAGCTTTTTCTCTCATCATTTACCGTAGTAGTCAACCCATGGACTTTTCTAGGACTGTATCGATGTAGATTATCGCGCAACGAAAATCCAAGTATAGAGTCCCACATTTTTGTCTTTGATAGAACTTTATTTGGAATTAAGAGAGACGTTTCGTGAACCATCTATCTTGCGGGGATATTAGAAACAACATTTTCCGATTGTTTATATGTGCCCGGTAAGCTCTTCTTTCATTAGAGACGGAGACGCTCCGAGGCCCCCACTACCGTGCCGCACTGCCAAGATTGATGGGCGGGCGATGGATTTGTTCTATTCGCGTTCTCACTCATCAATCATTCGCGGATATTTTTCCGTGTCTCAGGTTGTTTAGCCTAAATAGATTGTTGCAGGCCTTCAAGCGTCTTTTACATCGACATGTGTACCACATTATTGTAGATAATCAAAGGCACTTTTCATATTCACTGATGTACTACCACAAAAAGTAGGTCACGAATCGATAACAATTTTGTACCTTAATTGAGACATTATATAACAAAAATTGTATCTAATTGTTCTATCGTCGTTACCGACCACAAAAGTATTAAGGGCGATAACATCGCTTACTTTCCGCTAAACAGTGAAGTAATTAACCGCTAATGGACATTTTATGGAACAATAGAAATGATTAAAACTGACACTTTACGAATTGAGATTTTCCTTAACTTAATTACGTGATGAAGTACCATTATTATATTTTAATAGAAAAATATGTTAATAAAAGGGTTTTACATATATGTTTTAATAGAAAGTTGCAAAATGCCTTTATATTGCTAAGAAGAAACTTTTAACCTCTTGTCGGTTAAAATTATCTATAAATAACGATTTTTGTTATATATCTAAATACAGAAGAATTACGAAAGAGATTTATCGAGCAAGAATGAATGGAGATGTCGGTAGGGGCCGCCCTAGACGGACGTATGTCGACCAAATAGGCGACGTGCTGAAGAAGGGCCAAATTAAAAGTACCCGTAACCGACGAGCGTGTATGACAAGATTGATGAATGTGGAAGAAGCGAAAGAGGTTTGTTTGAATCGAAGCATTTGGCGTTCCATTGTTTCTGCCTACCCTAATGGGAGACAGGCGTGACAGATATGTATGTATGTATCTAAATACAAATATATTTAAGAAGTGTTTACATTTAAATTACAATATTTATCCGATTATAAAATAAATCATCATTCAATAACAGTACTGATAACCGAAGTCAAACATTATTATTAGGCACATGTATGCCTGATGTACACAGATCAAATATTCATAATACTGCAAAAGTAATAAAGTAATAAATGGTTTGAAACAATATAAGCCGTTATTCTCCCGTATACCTCAATACTACAAGTAGGCTTACCAACTACGAATGGGTATGAAACTGAATTGACCAGTGCCAGTTATAGCACCAATATAACAGCGCCGAACGTTCTGTGAGTGAATAAATAACAACCTACCCCTTTGAAGCAATTACCAATGAACCGAATCATCGTTGACGAATCGATAAACTTCTCAAATAGAAACTACTCGGATAGACGTACTGTTAAGTGTACGAATTCTAAACAAGTTTTCCTAGTTTAAGGGTTATAGGTTATATATAAATAAATTAATGTTTATTCATAAATTGTAATTATCTAAATATGTATAGATAATAATTTATTTGCGTTTATTTAAATATTTCCTTAAAGCTTGAGTTACAAATTAATTTCTTATCATTAGTTAAATAATTTAAACAACTTGTTTTTTTTTTCTTGTAAGATTTAAGTGTAAAAAACAATAAATACTATTTAAATAAATTATTGTTTTTCTCAAGGAAGAAGAATAGGTACTTCCTATACTTTCTGGTTAAATAAAACTGGAAAGGATTGCTAATATTAAATAAATCAGGTAGTTTTAATTCCAATTCACATGGACAAAGCTGTGGGATACAAACACAACTAGTAATAATTTATGTCGATGTATTCCTTCGGGTATAATTAAATACCCATTTAGATGAATATTATTTCGTGTAGCTAAAATCAACACACACTATTATATAGACGAACAAGCAAGACGTCCCTAAATCAACAGAAAGTATCCTTACGTAGGCCCAGTTCGATCGTGGTGAGGTTACGATTACGACGAAACAGCTCAGAACAAGTCACGCACCAAGCATATGTAAAAAGGTGAAAAAAAAGTACTTAGCATTCCATGTTTGTTTCAGAATCCTTATTCCCCCGTTTCGTGGAACCAGTTCCGAACGTCACAGTGACTGTAGGCCGTGACGCTCTCCTTGCCTGCGTCGTGGAGGATTTGCGCGGATATAAGGTAAGTATAAATTGAGCCGTCATGATTATCTTGAATTGCTATATATGAAATTGGAATTTTGTTCATAAAGCTGGAAATGTGGTGCGGTCTGATAGAAAAATTGAAAATCCCAATGTATTACTTACTTACTATCACAAAAGAATTCAATAGAATAATTCAATTCTATTTTTGAAATTTAAAATCTATTCCTACTATAGCGTTGTTTATAAAGAATTTTTAAATGGCAACTCTAAACACTATTTATGTGTAATAAATATAAGCATTCACTATAAATAAAAAAATTGAAGTTTCCTAACTCTTTATACCATTACCATCAATTTTTACTTTTTATTATCATTTTCCAGTCATATTTAAATTTTTAATCTTATGTTTGATTAACCATATATATACATATATGAAGGAAATATTTGCAGTGTAGTCAATATTTACTGCAACGGAACGTAGAATGAACCTACATATAATGTCACTTATGCCTAATATGCATCAGATAATGTATGCATTAATAAAATAACCATTAAATGTACAAAGTTGACATTTCGTAATTATCACATGATGAATGAGCACACAGTTTAATTCTATAAACGGATACGTAGCACCCGGAACTTGATGCAACTTCATTGCAGTGCACGGGGTAAAGTTTTAACAAGCCAACTTAATATCACTTTGCTCAGAATGCACGATTCGCCCGTTATTAATCATGCAGGATGGCTAGTTAGCAAAATTGGAGTACCGTACAGTGTGGCAGGATTTATATGGGATAATACGAAATTTAGTGCCAGCGGTGATATCGTTTTTTATTATACAGGTAGCCTGGGTGAGAGTGGATACACAAACGATCCTGAGTATCCATCACAATATAATCACTCAGAACCCGCGAATCAGCCTGTCCTACAACGACCACCGCTCCTGGTACCTGCATATCAAGAACGTGCAGGAGGTGGACCGCGGCTGGTACATGTGTCAAGTGAATACAGATCCTATGCGCTCAAGGAAGGGATATCTGCAAGTTGTAGGTTAGTATACTAAAGTTATGAAGAGATTTTAGAACATGTTTCCAATTTTAAATTCACGCCACATACACCAAATTAAACTTATGAGAAAACTTAAACGTGACAATACAGCAAAACACTATTTCAGTCTTTCCGTGACTACTGTTTTAAAACTTTTTTGGAACGTCGAGTATAAAATAAATATTTTTGCGTTTATGTTGTTGTTTTAGATGCCTATTTATAAATCAATTTAATTATTAAAACAACAACTAGTCGATTAAAGTAACTAAAAAACTATTTATTATATATTTATATATACTAGCTATGTTCGCATCTTCTTTCGCATGTCCATAGTAAAAAGTGACCAAGTGCTCCATCCCTAGTAGTATGAAAAGGGTTTGGATACTTTATATATAAACAAGTATTGTCTTTTATTGTTACTTTCTAGTATTGCTAAATATTTATTATTTATATAGACAAAGACAATTCATTTTGTAATTTGGATATGTTCCACAAAAAAAAAACAACTTCGAACGATATTCTTAAACCAATAGTCTTTCAGATAAAAAAAAAAGAATTTGCCAAATCGGTTTACAATTGACGGAGATTTGAGATAATAAATAAAAAAAATACTACTAAATCGAGAATCTCCTACTTCTTGAAGTCCATTGAAAATTTCTACAAATGTAGTACATATTTGTACACATATATTTGGGAAATATAAAAATTTAAACTTTCAACTCCTTAATTTTCTTTTAATAATAAATATACGGTATATTTGCAGTGTAGTCCCGGCATAGAATACGCCACCCTTCCCTTTTCCGTGGGTGTCGTAAGAGGCGACTAAGGGAGAGCGAAGGATGGGCAGCAGCGTCCCTCTTGAAATATCTCCAAAGCTTAACTGCAGTTGCCAATGCACCTACCAAGCGTGGCAACTACTAGTAAAACCCCCCAAGGGGGAAGCTTATGTTCAGCGGTGGACAGTTGAAAGCTGATATGATGATAATGATCCGCTATATTTAGTGGTTCATGAGTGGTCGCTTATGTTTACAACTTATCAATTGAAAACGATGCCAATTTTACTTATATCTTTTTAATTTCAATTAAGTAAGCCCTTAAGGCATCAAAAAAATAAATTTACTTTCACATTTTCAATATTTGTAAGTATTTACAACATTAAAGTAGATAGGTCTATTATTTATTAGTTATTTAAAATTGTTGTATTCGACTAAAGAGTTTGTTCATTTTCTATGGCCACTGTTCAAGTTTACAGACGTAACTGACCTAGTCATTAAAATGTTTTCAAGGTTTCACCAAATGAAATTCGAATAATCGATTAATATAATAAGCACTGAAATTAATCATACAATAACAAACTACTAAAATGTAGTTGAGCACTCTCGACAAAATACGAGTACACGTAAGTGAATCCGGTTTTTTCGCACAGTTAAAATACAAGTATTATTAATTCCAAAGCGAATCTGTATGACTGTTAACCTCTTTGATTTTTTACCAAAACTTTGCACGCAAATATTTTTTAAACGACCCCGCGCGAGCTGAAAATAAACAGAAGTAGTCACTGATACTCTAAAACGAACCATTTTAACTGCAACGAAATATGTATAATGTAATATGTCGTGTAATGTAACAAGAATTCAGCACATACAGTTCCACCGTAACTTTTCTGGTAATTTTAGTTTTTACGCGAATTCAAAGTCGCTATCTGATACCTATCTGAACTATTATGACGGAGTTAGACATTACAATATAACAAAGCAAACAAATATTTGTATCAAATCTCTGTTTAATGTAAAGATGTTATAAATACTTCAAGCATATTCTCTAAGTATTACATTGTTACTTGTCATCATTTTTTAATTTTTAATATTATTCTTTTAGTATAATTTCACATTACACTATTTAACTCTTACTCTGTACTATTTATATGCTTTACATGTTTTACATATAGCTCAAAAATATATAAAACACAACGAAACGAACTTAATTTTACGAATTAAGAATTACATAAGTATAACAAGACTTATTAATTATATTTCATTTTTTTTTTATTTTGAACAAATAACTTCGCACAAAACGTGCAATATGTATATTATGTACGTATACCTCGAGAGCAGCATCATCTTCTTGCCCTTATTCCAATTATTTGGGGGCGGCATAATATGATTTTATTCACTTATATATATTTCGACAGTTACTAAAAAATATCAAACGATTATCTATAGAATGAGAATCTTAATTTTTTTCTCGTAATAAACTTATACGTACTGATATTTTTACTTTTTATACAAATATAATATTTATATAAATATAATAATAAGTGTCATTAAATTTAATTAAGCAAAATAATTTTAATCCATATTAAAAAAAATCTATAGAAAAAAAAAACAAAATAAAAAATGTTGTTTCTAATAAGACAGTATCGCTCTAAGGGATCAATATCATCATGTGAACCATTAAGTGTCCACTGCTGAAAAAGGCCTATCCCAATGGGAAGGTTTTGCCAGTAATTGCCAAGCTTGGCAGGCAGGTTTGCAACTGCAGTTAGGCTTTGGTGATAATTTAAGAGGGAGGCTGCTGTCCATCCTTTCGCTATTAAATTCTCTTAGTCACCTCTTACTACACCCACAAGAAAGGAAGGGATGGCCACACGGCGGGATTTTTGAGATGCAAAATTTTAAATACTGATTGCATTATCAACAGTACCACCAGTTATCATCGACAACATGACATCGATGGATATGGTAGTGCGAGAAGGTACCAACGTCACCATGGTGTGTCGTGCCACCGGCTACCCTGAACCGTACGTCATATGGCGAAGAGAAGATGGCCAGGAGTTTAACTGTAATGGAGAATCAGGTAAATAGTAAATAGTTAACATATAATTTTAAATATAATACAATGTAAACAATATAAGGGATTTTATACAATTGTTACATTACAGTAAAATAGGTAAAGACAATTAAAAAATTATTATCCTTACTAAAAATCACACACTCTATCATCAAGTAAATGGTTGTTTTCATACATACATACATACATACATATCCGTCACGCCTGTCTCCCTTAGGATAGGCAGAAACAATAGAACGCCAAATGCTTCGATTCAAACAAACCTCTTTCGCTTCTTCCACATTCATCAATCTTTTCATACATGCTCGCCGGTTACGAGTACTGGTGGTTTTCAAAGAGTTAAATTTGCAGGATGAAGGAAATCACATTAGGTAGATGCAATAAGCACATTAAGATTTTTGATTAAATCGTTTAAATACTTCATATTTATAAATACTTTTTTTTTATTCGAGAAAAAGCAACATCTATACATTTTCACTATAAAAAAGCAGTGAAGACAAAAAGACAATTACAGATTTTCACAAAAAAAAAACAAGATTTAACAAAATGCATATGCATTTTGTTAACATCGGATCGTACAATTAACTAAATTATAAAGTAATACATACATACATACACACAGGGAGGTAGTTATGCAAAATAAAAAGTTGAAACTCGTGAAAACATCACATTTGAAATGGAAACAATAAGTTCAATCCAGATTGTTGGTAACAGAGATTGCCTCTGATAAATATCCGGTCAAAACATTCGCCCCGGACGGTCATTATGTTGACGCTCTCGCAAAGAAACAAAACAGATAAAAGGAAATCTCTGGAGCGCGAAAGTACGGGTACGAAGATCACGTGACTGAACCCACCGGACGCCTCTCGATTCTCAAACAAATCTAGCAACCCCTACCCTAAATTGTCGATGAACAATCGGAATACTTCAACAAATTGGATACAATCCTGAATAACGTTCGAGTTCAAGAAGTAATAATAACGAAATTAGTAAACTCCTAAGACAATTATTAATCTTGAATTCTTTATAATTTCTCGATTTTATTTTAATGCAATAAAGATAACGAATATAAATTATTGTTCGACAATTTTAAGGACGTCCTTGTTTCCGATTGCTGTTCCATTTCTTGAAACACGGATAAATAAATTGAACATTATATTAAATTATAACTTGTCTTAACTTGTTATAAAAATACATTCTCAGAAACTACAATATTTTTTAATTAGTGATCTCAAAAGAAACTAATATTCCAATAACGATTAACCTAACATGATTTAAACTTAGGTAAATTGTTAACTTTCATAAAAGGGTAATTTTATGCTGAGCATAATGTAATGAAATTAAAAGAGGTATTTTGTTTGCAGTGAACGTCGTTGATGGAGAGAACTTGACAATATCAAAAGTATCACGGCTACATATGGGTGCGTACTTGTGTATAGCATCAAATGGCGTACCACCTTCCATCAGCAAACGTGTCGTCCTCATGGTTCAATGTAAGTGCTAGTATATAATATAAAATACTAGTGTTAACTCTATTTCTTCTTCGGCTGCTATACACTAGTTATTATCTGCGACTTTGTCTTCGTGGGTGGGTATGTTCACCGATCGAGATAAAAAGTATCCTATATATATATATATATATATATATATATATATATATATAATATATATATATATATATATATTATAAGGACTTTCTGATATTCAACGTACTTTTTAATGAACTTTAAAGAAAGAAATTATCAATTCCTCTGTATTTTAAGCGTAGATATTTTACGCAGCTTTTTTACGAGTTCTGATTATTTTGGAACTGATTAACTCTGTATCAGATGTCCGTAGCTATTTATATATTTAAGTATGAGATATAAAAATTGTCTAAACTTAACCAATTGTTTTCATAAATATTATCATTAGTTAAGTACAATATAAGCATTTACATATACTGAAACAGGTCATGTAACCAGATTTCTCATACGGCAAAATTTTTTATAGACGTTTATCGACTACATCGTTTAAGTAGCTAGATAGTTACAAACCTACCATTGTTAATATTCACTACAGCGGAATGTTTCTAGTATGATTAAATTGTGGAAAGTTCGACAATGACCTTTCCTAAGAATGACACTGGTTCTCTCGCATGTTCCCCAAGGTGTTTATTATGGACAACACTTCACATGCATAATGTTAAGATGTACTCATATCTGTGAGCGCGAGTAATACTGAAATATGAGACCCGAATACATAATCAATTCTTATGATTGTAATTTCACAAGTAAAAAAAAATATACTCATGATTATATATATATCCCAGATGGGGGTTTTAGAAGCATATGCTGGCCACAATGACGGTTAAAATCACTTACAGTAATCTATATAACTTATAGTGAACATAACAATTGAGATGTCCGTCCAAGAATAGTAATAATCGAAACTATCGCATACTAATAAGTATTCTATAAAACAATTTAAAAATAAAAGCATATATATAGTAATATACGTAACATATATATTAAGACATACGTTTTTTTAACATTTTATTAGATTTAATAAAACTCAGAGACACTACCGTAGAGCCGAAGCATTGTTTTTGTTTCCCAAAAAACTATTTCCACACTAAATGTCCGAAACTTTTTGAATGCGATGACCAAAAACTTTCTGCCTAAATTCCTGAAAGTTTCTCCTGTTTATGAGTATAATCTACCTACCTAGTTTACATGTTATTTGACAAAAATATATGAAAATGGCTTTTAAAAAAAAATTTTATTAAGCAGAGCGTAATTATGTTTTATGTATAAATTTTTTCAACAAAAAAAAGGAAGACTGGGAGTAGCTAAAACAACTCAAACAAACCAAAAAATACATGTATGTCCAAACAAATTTAAGAACTTTAAGTCATGTTGTCTATATAAATATGTAAATAAAGTAACATAAGTTTTAAAAATAATATTTAGTTGTATTTGTTAGTTTTTATATTGATAATAACTAAATAATGTAAGGTGTTTTAATTAACTTCATCATAATATCATATCCGTCCACTGTTGAACGTAGCCCTCCTACATAGACTGTAACAAAGAAAGCTCCTGATTCACCTGTATATTCTAAATATTTGCAACACATTTGAAGTCGTCACTCCATCTAATGGGAGACGACCTACCCTGCATTTGCCCGTACGGAGTCTCTACTCAAGAACCTTGCTTCTCCATCACTTGTCGGTTCTTCGAGTTATGTAACCAGCCTCTTGCCACTTCAGCTTGCTAATCCCTTAATAATTAAATTACTAATCTTTAAATATTACACATATAATGGATATGTGTAATATTTAAAAATTACTCAATTCTTTATGAAATAATTATATATACCTGTCTAAATTTAAATAATGTAAACAGGTATATATTTGTTAAATAATAATATTAAATAATAATATCATGGGCGAAAAAAATTATTTAATCAGCATATTTTTTGGAACTCGTATAAAATATTTTCAATCTCTGTAACTATAAGACACATTTAATTTATCACCATCAGAGTCACTATATATTTTAACTAGATATGTTTAAAAGCTTTGAGGCATATTCATTTCTACATATACATACAGGGTCATGTTATGACCCGCAATCACTCTACATACTCCTAACATAGAAGCTAACCCTAAAACCCATGATTTACGATTTGTTTATCGCATATTCACATTGAATTTGGCAAATTAATGTAAATAATGTATCTTTACAAAAGTATGAATGGTAAATACCTTATTTAAATTATAATATGCTACTTTGAAATATAAACTAATTCTCAGAATTTTACTGTTGGATGAAATATAATTATCTATTGCTAGCTAGTTTTCATAGCTTCCCTCGTGACGTCCTTTTATCGCACATTCCCGTGGGAATTACAGGAAATCGCTTCTTAGCAGCTACTTGTAATAGTATATAAGACCCCCTGTACACAATCTTATGTTATTAGACTTAGTAGTTTAAACTCTTAGATTATTTTTAGATTATAATCAGCTAATTTGACACTTAGTTGATGAAAAGTTGTCCTATTTCTAAGTCTCGATGATCTGTCTATATAATCTAAGTCTAAACCTTGCATTAAACAATTCTATTTGTATTGTATATTTTGTGATGTTCATACCTGCAAACGATTTTACTTTTTATCAGGTAAGCCGTCAGCTCAGCCGTGATTCCAAGTCACGTAAAAAGAATAAAACACATTAGTGTGATGAATATCAGGATGCACTTGCATGCAATGCATGGAATTTTAGATTCGTACTTATCTTTCAATAAATCTTTTCTGTCGCTCTAACATCGTGCATTTTAGGTACTTTACTAACTTCACCATTCACGAAAGAAATATCATACCTACTTATATAGTTTTGTTTAAAATTATATTACTGCTTATAGTAATAATTAATACATATAAAGGCTTTACTTAAAACAATTCCCTATCGTCCACATCAAATTTGCAACACTCATAATAATTTGGGTAATGTTATATTCATACAAGTAATTTTATTTACATAATATATAAAATTCACGGTTAGTATCGGCATAAATTTAGATTAAGATTATATTTAACACAAAATACCCTGCATTAATTCCGTAGTTGGACATTAAAATTCCGCATGCAAAGGGTTCGGTACTAGAAGTTGTTTGTATTAGTAGTTTTAACCATCAATCATTCAATAAATAAAATGAAATAATTTAATCTGCTTCATTAAATTCGCATTCAACCTCTTTTTGATCCAGTTAAGATTCTCAATTAATACAAAATTAATATAATAATAATAAATGTCTTTTAAAAAATGGATTTTTTTAAAGTCTTTAATTGTGAATATTAAATGAATAAAGAAATAATAATAATAAAAAAGCACTCGGCGCAACACCATTAATTAAATACTCACTCAATATAGAAAAGTCCGGCTTACGAGTCTCCATTTTAAGGCCATTTAAGACAGCCGCGCAAATTATCTCGATATTACTTCCTCATCTAGAAGAAAGAAACGGTGGCACATTTCCCCGCCCCGTTAACTTGCCTCAAATTCTTCCTTTGGTAAGTACGTGAGCATTTTCACGTCGTCGTTTCCTTTAGTCGGGAGTCAGCGTTCAGAAATATTATTTTTCTCGGGGTGGGCGTCGTTAACGAGTATTTACGAGGACACGGCGTCTCTACCTGACGGCGCCTTCCGCCGGATCGGCCGTAATTGCGCCCAATTAGAGCATTATGCTGACGTGAATACGGCACGGACGCGATAATAGCGATACTATCTGTTCCCACCGCGCCGCACCGCTGTGCTCCGCACCGCACCGCCCGCCGACAGTCCATCGCTCCTCACACCCAAACCCAATGAGACGCTTTCCTCCCCCTAATTCACATTCCGTATCTCAGCGCGTTCACAGTCCTCTCCATTTCTTATAAGATACGTGAAATGTTCACGTAACTTTCACTCGATTAACCAACGAGACTTCCTTATGAATTCACTGTCAGTTTTCATTATACTTACGCGCTGAAGACAAATCTTTATGATGATATCCTTGATAATGTTATTATGTGGCAGTTTGTAGCATTAGATCACGATTCCCTCGAAGATTTTTCTTCATTTTATTACGAAGTTGACAGTTAATAACGTAGAATTATGTCAACAGGATTATCTTTAATGATTAAGAATTGCTTAGATAGTAATAATAAAGAAATATAAACAGCTAATATTAATATCATTTTTACCTTAACATAATTTTATGAATGAATTGAAGTTTACCCTTATTAATCTAATGAGTCCACATAATCCACTGCTGGGCGTACAACTCCTTAATTTTACTCAGCCTTAAGTTGCCAGATATATTCTCTACAAAGTACTTTGACTTGATGTTTAGCTACCCAAACAATCGAACATAATTAATTCCGTAGCTATATATACATATTATATTTGTTTATTAAATTTAATTTTTTTTAAATGTTTAATTACCATATTAAAATAAATGATAGTATTAAAAGCATATCAGTGCAAATATCTTAATTCATGTAAAACCATAAACGATCGACTACGGTACTACAGTGTAAGGAATAACCAGTGGTCTAATACCATTTCGAACTATTGGAATGTAGTCATTCCAGTACAAGTCTAAAGATTTGTCTGTTGAACTACTAGGAAAGGGTTCTTTATACTGTATTGGAATATACATGTTAACTAATTTACTTTTTTTAGTTCCTCCCATGCTTTCAATACCAAATCAATTGGAGGGAGCATACATAGGGCAAGATGTCACGCTGGAGTGCCATACTGAAGCATATCCATCCTCTATTAATTATTGGACTACAGATCGAGGAGATATGATAATTTCAGGTATTTGTGAATAGTAATTGGTTAGTAATATACTCAAATAGTACTGCATTCAAAACATATTAACTTCCAAATCAAATGACTAAAATTTCCGTTTATACCAATAATGCCTTTGTTAGACCTTATAAAAATAATGCTTTAAATTTTTTTTAATCTGATATATGCTGATACACGTACACAGTCGTCATATGAATACGATTCACAGCCGTTGTTTGCCAAAATCGTGTGCAGAGAAAATACCTATTCAGTTCATGTAAATTCGATGACACCATCCAATTCCGATATTGGCTTAAGCGGAAATGTTAGTGCATCTGTACATAACGCAATTTAACGACGCCAACTAGTAGGACGCTGTACGTTCCGTTCACGATGCAATCGAAGTTTAGCACGGCGATATGCACCAACAGTAATTGACAAAGAGCAATCACGATTTACAAACACGACTTGCTAACGCAAGTAGTGAAAAAAACCCGAACAATCAAACAAGCAAAACAGTATCTACACCATTTACTACATGCAGTGTAATGCAATTTCAACTCCTCTCTCAAATTTATATCAAATTATACCAATTCGTTATCAAATATACGCAATAAACTTCTAAAATAAGTCCTTTGCAAAATAAACGGGTCTATAAAAACATAATAAAAGATCACAACAGATAATAATAAAAAATTACACAGCGCTAACAAATCTTTTAATTCTTATCAAATGTTTTAAATTATGTAAATATGTAGGTGTATTGCTTTACTGCAAAAGTGTCTTTTTTGCAAATTGTACAATATTAGCATGCCAAATTTGATTTTAAAATAAATTTCTTAAATAGTGTTTAACGTTGAATATTTGTAATAAAGTATTTTGTTTACAAATGTTAGCAAATATAAGTTTTCTATAAATATCTGGAGCTAATCTATGTATTTTTCTAGGATCTAAATACAATACGTCTTTAAGTGACGATGGGTACAGCCGGAAAATGAAATTAACGATTAGAAAAGTATCATCAAGGGATTTCTCTTCATACCGGTGCGTCGCAAAGAATTCCTTGGGGGAAACAGATGGACTTATTCGGCTCGATGGTATGTAAAACATTTGATTCACACTTGACTCGAGGAAACAATCCGCCTAATCAATAGAAAATGTTCAACATAGTTCGCAAACTAATTTGAATGGTTATAAGATATTTTCCTTCAATTCAGTTCCTTAAATAGTTCCAGTAGGCGTAACACGTATATATAATGTTAACAGTAAGTATATCAAAACATTAGCAGATGCTGTTTTGTTTATATCACTGATATGGCATATAGGCATACAAACCATCTGATGGTAAGCAGTTAACATAGCCTATGAACGCCTACAATACCAGTGGCATTACGCGCCCGTACTCGAACCTGAAGAAATCTCTTTACTTTTTTTTGAAGAAATCAGGTTCTATAGTCTCTTGGAAAAACTTTGACCTGTATGTCTAGCCGTGGAAAGAAAAATACGTTACCAATAATAATTAAAAAAATATATTATTATTATTTTGCTCACAATTCCTTTTTAAATTTTTGATCTAAACCTGTCTCTAAAAATAAATTAATATCTTTCAATTAATTACAGCCCCAAATATAATGTTACAGCTATCATACTTTTTTACTTTCATTTATTTTTGATTATTCTTTTTAGAAATACCAGCTCCATCAACGGTGAGCACGACGAGCAATTACGTCACCAGTCCTCCAAAGAGAAAAGGTAATTTTAGAAATAACGAAATTCAACTGCTGGGTACAATTGTATTTTAAAGGAAAGGGCACTTGACGGAACTGATTTAGGCATCGAAATAATTAATGTCCAAACAGAGCCCTCAAAGTTTCTAATGAAACCCTTCCAGGGCCGATCAAATCGGAAATTTCGGATTAATTTTTCATGATCAATTCGACACTCACTGTATCGGAGTGGCTATTACGAAATTTAGAATTTCAATTTTGGCACGTAAACCGCGATTAGAAAGGCAATTGGTGCTAAAGTTGAGACAGTACCACGTGCCTTTTATATATTCATCGTGCTCGACTGCAGCCACCGAGCGAGAAAGGAAATCTGGATTTTGTATTTATTGGTTTTGCCGCCGCGGCCCAATGCTTCCGTACAATTGGGTCTTTAGTAATATTATTGTGGGAAAAGCGATTTTGTTTGGGCTTTGACTTCCAATGTGCCCTCTTATTGTTATAGATTTAGGCTTTCCTTTATATTCTTTATAGCATCATATGTTTTGTTCAAGCTTGAAAGCGTCGTTTTCATGGTCTTTTAATGCAATATAAGATTTTTTATGGCACTATATGTTCATATGTGATTCTTCTGTTATATTAAGTATTGACTTTTGATTATGCAGTTAAACAAAAGAATAGATGGAAGGACAGCTCTGCGGAGAATAGAGTCCTCGGAGACTATGAGGCTGAAGAATTGAAGGAAAATGCTGGTAAGATTCGATTGATATCTATAATGCCATTTCAATATTTCTTAAAATTAATAATAACTTTACGTAGTTATACATATAACACTATAATCAACATAATAAAGTAATCGATATTACTACAAAAAAAAATTCTTTAATAAATATTTACTCATCTTTTTTAAATACTGAATAAACTAATGAATCTTAGTATCTTATATGTACATAAATAAATTTAAATATATAAAAAATAATTAAAATACATAAATAAATAAAAAATATATTTTTAGATGTTTTTAACGGAACTGCAACATTTTTTATACCACTAAGGTGTCAAACGAGTATATGGCCCACCTGATAATAAGCAGTTACCGTAGCCTATAAACGCCTGCAATACCAGGGGCATTACGTGCGCGTTGCCGACCCTAAAAAAACCTCTTTACCCGTTTTTTAAAGAACCCCATGCTGTAATCTTTTAGAAAAACCACAACAGGGAGCTCATTCCATAACCTGAACATGGGAGGATACATATCTTAAACCGCGCTGTACACGACCACCTAGGCTTTAAAGTATGAGAATGAACTCTCTGTCGATGGCGAGTCGATCATAGAAATAATCCTAAATTTAGAAATAAAAAGATGTTCTTGTTCTTTACATTTATATCCAGATTTCCAGACCACTCCATCTTCAGGAGCCTCAATCACTCAAGGTGTATTTCTCGTCACAATAATGGCCATGCTTATCATCAGCTGACATCAATGCTTCGTAAACATAAAACTAAAATAGTGCCAAGATAATGAACGTGCTAAAAAATACGATAAAGCCTAATAGTGATAAATTACCGGCTTGATATTTAATGTATTCAGGTTTTAGAGGAAACCACTGCAGTCTTCTGAATTAGATCAGTTATTAATACCGAGTCATATCAATATTGTATTGTAGCAAAAACTAGCATATAGAAAAAGTTATTATAGTTAATTATTTAGTGTCAATAATATATAATACTAGTACATTAAACATATATTTTTATTATAAAAAAAATTACACTCTTTACCATCGGTAAATAAAAAATTATCTAGTGGATGTGAAAAATAAAATACAAAATAAAACTTATTTCTTGTATTTGTATTTATATTCCATGACATTATGTTCAAAGGATTGCAGTGAGTTTTCAAAAATTTGTTTAATTAAAAGCAAAATTGTAAATTTTAACTAACTATTAACATCGAAACCGGAGTTTAAGTTTTTTATATGAAAATATTGTATCTATGTAAAGAACTACATATTAACTGTACATATTAAACTGTTACTTGATACAGAAGACTGATAGATTTTTATGATAAATGTGCCATATCTAATAATGATGTAAAATTAATAGAATTTGCAAATTCCAAATGTGTAGTACCACGTAATCTAGAGTAGATATAGAAAGTATGTTTAATAGAACACGATATTGATGTGCTTAGCACGTCACGTCACGTCACTATTCATAGCATATCTTATATCTATTAATACTGCTTGTAGCAAGAAACACATTTTTTTAATGGGTGGTAATAGAATGGTAACCCCCCCTGCGCTATCGGTATACGCTGGAATCGGTATACACCAGTGAGGGATGATAGGTGACGGAGAAAGCAGGTCAGTGAGCCCATCGTAACGAATTCCACTAAAATTAACCACGATGATTTCTAAGGGGAATCGCGTTGAGGTCAACCTGATAGAGTGTATTGCTGGCAATGGGACAAGTAGACCCCATTACTAACAATCCCTTTCTCCCCGTAATAAACACATTACTTACATATAGAAATCTTCGCTACATATAGTTTTATTTCTTTGATTTTTTAGTTAAAAGAAGTCAAGAACAATAAAAAATATTAACTTAATATTATAAATTGATTTTATATTTCCGAATACATTCCACAAAACATTCGCTTCTCGTAAAGCGAAACCTCTTTATTCCTATACACATAATATGTTACATTGTGAAATCACTACATAACTTCAACAATCCTAATGAAAATTTATAGAAACACTTAGAGGTACTGTAGTAACAATCTCCATTTTACAACCGATAACAATGTTTCAGTAGGTACCTAATTAAATGACATAGTTGTATAACTTAATAAGATGTCTCTAGATAACAAAACGGCTTATCAAACACCTGAGTTTTAAAATCTTGATAAACTTAAGACGATCAAATGCAATACCCTAATTAGAGTTAAAAATTGAATGCATGAATTCTTTTGACTTCAATCTGTATTTATGTACATTAACGTAAAAACAGTTTGATACAATTCAAAACAACGTCCCGTGTAAGTACAATAACTCCGCGCCTATTTTCTGGTTCTCAAAATTTCGCTCGTCGTCGTCATCTTGCCTTTGGTATTCTACAGCTTGTGTACATAATGTATTATATAAACACAATGTTGTTGAAATGTTCATATATGTAGATACTAGCTGTGCCTGGAACTTCGCCCGCGTGATCGAGATAAAAGTATCCTATATTCTACTCCATGCAAAATATTACATATATGACAAATTTGACGACGATGAGTTTAGCTGTGAAGTCGCCAAGATGTAACAAATAAATTCACTTTCATATTTTTAATATTAGTAAAGATATACCTAGATAATTTATGTATACTATAGTATAAACGTGTAAATATTTAGTTAAGGAAAGCGAAGTTTTGTTTCATTATGAGAAGGAAGTTTACATTGTATATTATTATACCATGCTATGACAGTAACACAAATACAAGAACAATAAATAATATTTAGCTTCAAATCTATTAACTATATCATTGGTGATATTACTTATATTAGTGATGTTGATTGTATTAACAAATTACATATAGGATTAATGTCCGTTTAGATACGTCTGTATATGTCCAGACTTTTGTCCGGCCTTTTTCAAATTCTCTGCTCATTTGATTTTATATTATTACAAAAGTACCTATCTTTTTGTACAGATTAATAGATACCCATGTTGTAAATAGATTCATTATATCTGCAATAAAGACAATATGGTGTGCTTTTAAATAAAAATATGTAATAATAAAATACTTATCTGCTTGTAATTCAATATTTACAGTGAACTTAACACATAAGTCTTCACTCACAAATCAACAAACTATGAATTTAATAACGAATTGTTTTATTTTTAACTAATAAATAACTTAACTAATTAAAAGTAATTAATTAATTAACTATGACTGAGTATGGCTATACTCACACATATCCAGAAAATACAAATCATCATAACTATTACGATTTCATTTATAAAGTCAACAGATGTTTCTACAATCAATATTTAAATAAAAATGTATAATTGATTCAAGGGGCAATAAAATCATAATTCTGTTTCTATGCTGTGTACTTTTTTTGATCTTTTATTGTCTAATGTATATGTGAATTGGTCGTAATTACTCATAAGCTCCTGCCCTACTGACTGTTTATTTAACCTCTTGTTATAATAATATTACTATAAGTACATGTGTAATTTTGTATTATGATTTTCATAAAACCTCACACATATATCCTACCAAAAAGACATGTCAATGTTATATATCTTATATATCCATTTGCGCGTTAAAATGTATAGTAATCGTTAAAGTTAGCTGATTATGTAAAATTCTAATAAAAAAAGTTTTGGAAAAGAGTTGTACTTCATTTAAATTGTTTTGTCCATTCATAATTTTTGACAAAAAATTCTTTACTCTGAATAAACTCAATATAAGTACATATTTATTTGTGTAGTAAACATAACAAAGAACTTTAACGCAAAGTCAAAAACTGCATTTCCTCATTTTGCATTTAAATAAAAATTTTACTATAAATATGCATCTTTTACATATTTTAATGAATGCGGTAATAAATACCTGATTGCCGAAAAACCACTGTAATGTTATATGAAAAAGTTACTATGTAAATGAATATTACAGAGCGCAACGTAATAGAAATGCCATAAAAAAATATTAAAAAACTTCTTTGCCTTTTTTTATTTGATAAAATGTAACGAAAATGTTAATGAATGAAAATGGATGAGGTAACCCCTACTATACTATTGGTATATGCTGGCAAAGCACCAATGAGAGATAATACAGGTGAGGATGAAGCAAGTCAATTTTGCCATCGTGACGAATTGAACAATATTTAGCCACGATAGTTTCTAAAGTGAATCTCGTGGATTTCAACCTGATTGGATATATTCCTAACAATAGAGATTTTAAGTCCCATTACTAAAAATCCCTTCTCTCTCTACAATATTTATTAGACTACTGTATACAGGTAAGTAATTTTCTATTGAACTCCTAAAACTTAAATACTATTTATAAGGTACATTTATTAGGTACCTAAACTCCTAAATCAATACATGATTTCCATATTGATTAAAAAAGAAAACGTTTAAAGCTGTAGTTCTCTACAGCTTTTTCATTTTTAACTAAAAAGGAATATAGAAATATCTTTACAAAATATAATTAAAACTACTACCGTATACATAATATAAATATTTATACTCTATGAATAACCAATGTTTTGTCCAAAATAAACATACAAATTTGGATAAAAGAAATAGAAATACTAAAAATAAATCAAATATTTTTTTTAATAGCAGAGAATGAAACTTTTTAGGTTTTAAATTTCGTTATATATGCTATTCAAAATGTTAAGCGATGTACCTGCCACACGCTATATTGCTGTTCTATCGCCAAATCTTATCAAGTGAATTTTAATAACGATTTGCACACATTTTTGTACACTTTTATAAGCATTTTCTATTTGTTACTACTAAAACTATTATCCAAAAGTAGTATAATATTTGAAATTATTTTAAATTCGTAACCTGCATTAGAGAATTTTAAATTATGAAATGTTGAAAAACACTAATATTACGAATACGATTAGAAAGGACTTATGAAATCGACTAATCTAAATAACTACCTAAGCAATACTAAATACTAATAATTATACAAACACTATACTAAAAATAATTATACAAACATACATACACAGCAAAAATATACATTTAATCATTGTTAGGGCTTCGTACTTCAATAGGCAACTCTCTTATATAAAGGCAACAAACGAACAATGTAATATTTTCGTTTAGTACGATAATCAAATTCTGACAAATGAATAAGTAATTAATCCTTTCTTTCTTGCTTCCTAATTAGCTGATAAATCTTACAACATCCACGTTAAATAAGCTTATTGTCTCTTAATTCCCTTAGATATTAACAAAATGGATCTTATATTGCTTCATTATTGATATATTTTACCCGCGACTTTGTCCGCATAACAGAGATTGACAACTATTTTCTTCTCGATCCCAAATATTTTTCATGATTTTTGACGAAACCATTAAGACACTAATAAGCATATAACAAAAAAACTCGCTTTCATATTTATAATAATAGTAAGATGTCTATCTTCACGTCAAGTGCCTTAAGGATATGCGGAGAAGTAATTTCTAAAACTATTTGATTAGAATTATTATGTTTAATTCTGAAAAACATCGCAGTTTAGATGCCGAGCAGTAATAACACTTGGCTCTGAACAGCAATCTAATTATTTGCCTGAAGATGCCTTGTTTAGAGGTAAAATACGTGTCGCAAAACGTGCGTAAACAAAATGGCAGTGGGAGATTGAAGGCTAATATGGAAGGTCGTGGAACTTCTGTCAATAATAGCGGTGGTCTATCTTCGAGTGTTGGCAATCACACACATACTAATGGTAGCAGAATTTATTATTATATGAACAACTTAGTTCAGTAAAAAATTGAGTTCTAAAGGCCTTTGTCCTTACCGTACTCATACTGAAGTCTTTTTACTTCTTCCTTCAATAGTACAGTGTCTTTCTTTATGACAAAACCACAGAACAAAGAACTACGCTGTGTTTTAACCATAAAGGCTCTTTCAATGTACTTTCTACAATAATTCGTTTCATAGACCTACAACATTCTACTTTCATATTACATAGATATCTGTTTCGTATTCCTTTCATCGTATTCATACCTTTTATTAAGCTTTTGTCATTAAAATTTAATAGAATTAAATTGTAATTATTTCGCAAAAGGACATATCTTCTAGTCTATAACATATTGCGAGACGTGCTTCATATCTAAATGGTGTAATCCTATTATGTATTATTGTAGTCGTTCTATTCAAACTGGAAACTTCAGTTATATAGAAATAGCTTAAGAAGTCGTAGAATATATTGTATTACAGCGATTCCTAAAGTGGGTTCCGCGGAACTTAGGGGTTCCTTAAAAAAGTCACCAGTGTTCTGCGAAATTATTTATACATTGAAATAATTTCTTTCTTCACACTAAAAAATTAAAGGAAACTATAAAATGTTATACTCTATAATATATCTAATAAAAGCTTTTGTTCTTATTTAAATTACAGTGTTTTTGATTTATAATCATATCATATGGGGTTCCATAAAATAAAAAGTATTTGGTGGGTGCTCCGTTATCTTAAAAGTTTAGGAACCCTTGTTCTATTATGTAACATATACAGAGAGAGACCTTGTACAAAAGTCGTCTGTTTGAGTACCTATGTCCTACTTGTATTTATATCTCAAAGCAACTGTGGATCGGTATTTTTTTTAATGGATGATAATGGAATAATAATTAATAGTAACTTCGCCTGCGCTATCGGTATAGACTAGCGGAGCACCAGTGAAAAGTGATTGCCGAGGATAAAAGCAAGTCAGTTAACCCATCGTGAAGAATTCCATGAGAAATAACCACGATGGTTTCCAGGGGCACCGCGTGGAGGTCGACCTGATAGGAAGCATTGCTAGCAATAGAGTTCCCATTAATAACAATCCCTTTCCAAATTTCCCTCCTCTGTGGATCGGTTTAAAGACTAAAAGGATATAACAGTGTAATTACAAGGTACGGAGGCATAACATCAATTCACAAAACACAAAAGAAAATTATATCCATAGTATTGTTCTTATTTACAGACAACGGTACTTTCCATTAAACGAGTAATTAGCTAGTTTCTCATTTCATGTTGAATAAAAAAATTACTACATTACGACCATATTCTCATACCCTCTAACTGAAAAATGTAGTACTTCAATAATAAAACTAAAACTGCTCTTTTTTCTACTTCAGATATTTTCCGAAACTTCTGTGAAATTATCAACATAGAAAACAACATATATTTGAGTTCAGGACAAGTTTTTGTAGGTGCAGAAAATAAATATAATAAAAGACTCAAAAAGCGCTTTATATTTTTCTTGTTGCTCATGATATTCTTTCATTTCTTTTTACGTCTAATAGTGCAATTCTCATATAACGGGGTTGGGGGGGGAGCATTATGCTTATTTATCTTTCTCACGAAAAGTTTGTGATTCTACTTTCATTACTTTACAATATTTCCTATGTATATATAAGACAATTACCGTACAAAATTAATTGATTTTCTAGTATAGAACTTCTTCAGTTCAGTAAACTCCTTTGTGTTGTAAAATATTCACGGCAAAGATGACCTCTCTCAGTCAATCTGTTTCGTAGACTTAGTACAAAGTACTACATGTCTGTTTACTATAATAATATAATATTTAATTAGATGTTTAATATAATGTCTTATATAAAATATCTGCCCGTTATATGAATATTTAAATGTATAATAAAACTATTAGTACAAAGTAGAAACAAAGTTATCTCTCTGTTAATTTCTCGACTACATATTTCTTATAAAATTATATTATTTACGTAATTTACCATATTACACTAAACTATAAATTATTTTATAATATAAATTATTTAATTATTATTTTTATAAATTATTTTATTTTATTATTATATTGTCATCGATTATCTAACTCTGCAAAAAACCTCCTAAATGTTGACTAGTATCGAATGCTTATAGCATTAAATCTGTCTTTTCCACCACAATTTATCAGTAACTTTAAAAAAAATGCTATAAAAATGACATTAACATCATAATTCATCTAAGCACGATTCTATTGAATATATTTAAAAATACGCAATTCTATACAGTATACGTATATACACCTAATTCTATTGTTATAAGATATTTAATCAATATTTAAAGTTCAGTAAGACATAGGTAAACTCATTCATAGCATATTGTTACGAGCGCCCTATAAGTCTATCGATTTTATGCAAAATGCAACTAAGTTCCTCGCTGCGAGCCGTCTTCGGTATATTAGCCATAAACCGTGGTTATTTTGCTGTGCCAACGAGAGCGCTTCATTGTAAAATAAACCATCAATTTATAGCACATTTATCAGACTATCGGTTTAAATTATTGCTTAGTTCCTACGTTATTACTCTATTACTGTTGAAGAGTTTTAAGGTAATAAAAAGAATACTTGAGTAGTTGCCGCCATCTTGTCCATTTCTATGTCGAAATAGCTTCGTAAATATATTCTGGTCTTTGTAATTAATCTAAAAAAAGAGAGATAACACCTTAAAACTAATTATTAACAGAGCTTGAATAGTGTTGTTGGAATACAATAATTATAATTAGTGTTTGTGCAACACTGTGTTTATGGCAGTCTATGGGGAAGACCTATGTTCAGCAGTGAATAGATAATAGCTATGATCAGATGAGATGATGATGATGTTGATGATGCACCACCACCTCTGCGGTTAATATTACGAAA